ATTGGAAATGATATAGCGGCCATGTCATATTTTGTAATATGATAAGTATGCTTTAAAAAGAATATGGTCAATTTGAATAGATGGTAAACATTAACCTTATCTTGTTTAAATTTTTGGTAGTATTTATTTACTTGATAATGTTTGGCATATCTTTATGAAATATGTGATATGATCATATAATTTTTATGGAATGCATGATATCTACTTTATTTAAATATATTGATGTGAAAATGGTTTAAGGAAATGGGGATACTGGTCCAAGCACATTCCATAATGTTGATGGCCCATCTATGGAATGGATAACTTAGATCTCTCACCCCACAAGTCACCTTGATCAACGATATAGATTCAATCTCATGAAAGATGCAAATTATGGGAAACCCTAATAAACCCTAAACCTAAATATTCACTATAAATAGGGGTGCTCTCCCGCAATCTGTATACAACCTCTCTCTCCCCCACAATCTCTCTCTCCCATAACCTCTCTCTCTCTTTAAAGGGCACGCTCCACTCTCTCTCCTATGAGTTTCTCTCTCTAACCATCTCTATCCCAAAGTTTCAAAGGGGGGCCACGCCCCAACTCTAACTACTACTATTTTTCTCCTTAGACCTAAGAACTATTTTTCTCCCTAGACCAAAGAAGAAACTAAAGGTTGTAGAAATTAAAGAGAAGCCTAAGTTATTTTTAGAGGTCAGGGTTTTGTGAAGAATTAATGGTGGTTACATAGTTTGGCCGAAATCAACTTTTTCGATTCGAGATTGAAGCTAGACCGTAGATCCCGTGACATTGGATGCGGTGACTCAGTGTGGGGTGTAAGAAGTCCGATTGAGGTAATCTCTGACGTCTTTATCTTATATTTGCTTGTTTTTTATTTCATATTCTCAAGCATAGTATTATGTTGTATGAATGACATTAAGTAGTTGAGATTTATTTTATTGATGTGTTATTTATTTTTGGAATTTTTATTGTTTGTAATAAAACCATCTGTGAGTGATATTGTTGCTAAAATTATAAAAGGTGATTATTATTTAAAAAAAAAATTGTATTTTTCCGACAAAAGATCACATAGGTCTTTCTTTCAGCTTAGGCCTTATAGAATTTACATCCATCTTCTTCTTTTTTTTTTTTTAATACATGAGAGGAGATCAATTTTGAGGGAAGAGATTGATATATAACTTTTTGGTCAACCACTCCTCAAAAATAGTTTTTCGAGGAGTATTGAAGGCTAATACTTTTAGGCACACAAACAAGTTTATTTCTTTTTTAAATAAAAACAAATAAACTTTTATGGGGTTGGGCATGAGGTCCTAGTGGTAGCATATCCCACACTTTAGTTGTACGTTTTAGTTTCCATTCCTAATGATAATTTAAAAAGTCACTAATTAATTGAAAAATGACATCGCACACTTTAGTTGCATTGAAAAATGACGTCCCACACTTTAGTTGCATTCCTACTCAATTTAAAAAACCACCAATTAATTGAAAGGGCTTATCATCCCCCTGAATTACCAAAAAAAAAAAAAAAAAAAAGAAAATTGCTTTTCATAGAGTTCCTGAGGGAGCTAGTCTAATTAAAATTGGTTAGACAATTGAATTACATTACATAAAAAAGTAAGAAAGATGAGCGCATTATTTTTAAATATGAAACATGTTAGAAAAAATTTATCAGTTTGTCGAACCAATCAAGCAGCCCAACTAAGTTTTAACCGCGCAAAGCACCACAACATAGCACGTATATTATGCTCTAACCAGAGCATATTGTTCATCTACTCCCTCAGTCAAAGACCTAAATGGGAGGATTTTTTTTCAGTCTGAAATCTTGGGAACTACTTAAGAGTTTAAAGTTTTTGATACTTAGATCTTGCGCTTCAAAAATTAACGGTCTTTGTTCAATCTTTTTCTAGTACATAAAGAGTTAAATTCCTCTTTTTTTTATTTTTCTATTTTTTTATGAGTTTAGTATATGGAGAAGTTTGATCCCCAAAATTCGGGGTCTTAGAATTACTCTTATTATAATGGGTTTTCCAGAAAGAGTAAATGGACATTATTTTCCCGCGGGAGTATAAAAAAATAGAAGAGACGGGTTCTTGCGTGTTTTGGCGGCAACAAGCTCTAATTAATCAATGTTAAGGCATTAGTTAGGGGATTATTAGTTACTAACCTCTCATTAAAGGACACGCTAAGGAGTTCCTGATACCTCACTTCGACCTGCATTTGCGTTTTCTTGAAGCCCTAAACTCTAGAAACCCTAGAAATTTGCAGAAACCAATCAAGAAGAGGCCCAGACCCAAGAAATCCAGATCTCTCTGTCATGGCGATCCTTGGAGTGTGGGCGTGCTATGTGATTTGACAATTCGAAACTAGCAATTAGGAAACCTCTGATGTCTTCACGGCGATCATTGGAGTGCCGAGGTGCTCTGCCAATTGAGCTTTAGAATCCCTGGTAATGGAGAAACCTCGGAATTTCGAGGCTCAACCCTTGAACCATCGAGCTCTTTCATTGTAATGAGTTATTCTTCATTAGCACCAGAAATTTTCGGGAAGTCTAGAATTTAAGAAGCCCGAGAAGTTCACGGACTTTGTAATTGGAGAAACCATTGAAATCTCAAGCACTTACATTGTGATTATCAGATTTTTTGTGAAAATTCTCCTTCTTAAGTGCTATAAGTTTGGGAAACCCTAGAATCTCTTCTTTTTGAGTAGGTGAGATGGGATTTGAACTCGCGACAGTGTTGCTATAGCCAATGCCCAAATCCCTGGAACTCTAGAAATCTCTACCCTTTTATGGCGATTCTGCAATTTCTTATTCAGAAACCTTAGAAGACACTAGAAAGCTGCGATGGCAATTATAGGCGACGCTTTGCGCCAGGCTTTCATGCCAAAGCACGAGTATGAAAGCCTCAGAGAAGAAGAGAAGGCATGGGGTCGATTACAAAGGCCTGTGGTCATGGTAATGGTGACGATCTTGTGGCTCTGTGTTGTGGTTTCTTCAGTTATTAGCCTGAACATTGTTTTTCCACCAAATGGAGAGAGGCCTTTTTGCCATGATCGTAGGCTTCAGAAGCTTCCTGTTATGCCAGAAAATGGGACTCAGGTCTCTGATCTCTTTCCCGGAGCTTATTATTTGACAGAGGAGGACGCAGCTCAGTTTTATTGGATAGTGGTGTTTATACCCTCTGCAATTGTGTTCGTTTGCTCCCTCCTCTATCTTCTTGCTGGCGAGTGAAACTTTCCTCTCTCGTAACAATTAGGGTGTTGTTTGCTTTCTTTTGTGTTACACTATCGAATTCTCTCTCTCTCTTGTTTGGAGGTGCACTATGAATATTCATATTTACAGTGAGACTCCATCTCTCTTCTTGGTGATATCAAAGTCTCTTTCTCTCCCCCCTTTGTTCAATAAGAAGTGCAACCTGTGTGTATTCATGCTTTTGTGAATTGTGAAAATCGTATCTTTCTTCATGATTTCAACATCTGTCTCTTCAAGAACAGTTGCACCATCCTATTTTTAAATGAAACTTTCTCTGCTTACTGTTTTCTATATGTCGGGATTTTTTTTCTTTTTTCTTTCCTTTCTTTGTATGAAGTTGGAATCCTTGTTCTTATTCCTTGCAACTTGATACATATGATAGGTCCTTGATGCAAATTTAGGTTTCTAGCTGATTTGCCTATTATCCTTTTTGTGTACTTTTGCAATATTGATGAATGCCATCTTATATCAGGCTTTTCGGTTGTTCCTTTGTATTTGTGACTTGGTTTCAGGGATAGCGGTTGCTTACTCTGCTCCTATGAGACATGGATGCATTAGGGTGGTGGAGAATAATTACTGTGCTTCAAAGAGAGGTATGACCATCTATTGACACTGTTTATATACACCCCTTCCTGTCTATTGAGTTTCTCTCTCTATCTAAAGTAGATTTTACTTTGTTTTTCAGAAATCTTCTGATCTAGTTAGAATGGATATTCTAATTACATTATCATATGAGTGTGCTTGTCACTGATAATTGCCAAATGCATTCTTTAGGATGCTGTTTAAGTTTAGCTTTTCATGATTTTTGTCCATTAATCTTGCATGGTGGGTTATGCATTTTTTGTTGATTGCCTTCAAAATAGTTTGGTACTCTGGTTTCTTAATAGTCAAAATCATACAGCTTTCTACTGATCTATAGATAGTTATAATTTATTCAGAGTAGTATATGCATCATGCGATATAGAACGCAGATATATGTTGCAGGCGTCAGGACTAGCAACATGTGCACATTTAGATCATTATGAAATGGAAGAGTGTTCTCATTGGTAAACAATCAACGAGTCGGTCTTCAAAATCTTCACTTTCTGCAAGTAGATTTGTACCTATGATTCCCTTGCAGTGTTACAATAAGAAATGTCTCCCTTTCCATGTTATTTAAGAAAAAAAAACAAGTTGCTTGTCAAGGACCTACATGGAGCTATGGTCACTGGAGCCTTGTCTTGATACCTAATATCATTCAACTTGTCACCCTTGGTCACTAAGATCTAATAGACTGTTCGGATAACACTTCAAGAATAGTAAAGTGGGCTCTTGATAGTCTCTAAGTAGGTGCTTTCGTAAAGACCTTCATAGTCAATTCTTCATCGCCCCTAAGAAAGGCCTCCCACACATAAGGTTGAGATTTTTGACTGTTAAATGTTTTTTGAATCTGTCTAAGTTCATAATGAACTTAAAAAGTGCTCAAACAATTCATCTTTATTAAAAAAAAAAAAAAAATCCATAATTGGAATCAAGTGCTTGGAGAAATCAGATACATGATTTTGAAACTTTATTTAAGAAGCTTTCTTTCTTTAAGAATTAAAAAAAAGAAAACTTTTCTTTAAGAAGCTTTGAGGACATCCAGCATAGATGAACACACTCTATTATGTCTCTGGCGTTAAATCAAGAAGAATCCTATGGTTCATCATTGGGCATCATGGAATCGAGACTGATCATGTCAAGTTCAAGGCAATACAAGAGATGCCACTTCCAAGAAATTTATGAGAACTGAAATTCCTTCTAAGGAAGCTCATAGGGAAGTTTATACCAAACCATTGGGAAGATGGTAGACCTTTTCAAAGTTAATCAAGAAAGGGGCATCATGGGAATGGCATGAAGCCAGGCAAAATGCTTTTGATAGTGGTAAGGCCTATCTCTGCAATCTAAAGGGCTATCTGCTCCTATTAGTGGAAAGCTACTCATACTATATGTAGCTGCCTTTAGTAGATTTTTGTGAGCGTTGCTAGCCCAGCACAATGAGGAGGGCAAGGAAATGGCATTATACTACTTGAGCTGTATGATGGTGGTGAAGAATGTGATTACCCACCCATAGAGAAATTGTGCATCAATCAAAATTGCAGTTCAAATGTTACACCATTACCTCCTTGGGCACCAAGTGCAACTAATCTTCAAGTCTGGATCATTAAATATCTCATGATGCATATCAAGGCCATCTTGCGAAATGGTTTCTCCTTCTCATGGAGTTTGACATAACATATGTCTCACAAAAAGAACTTAAGGGACAGGTGCTGGTTGATTTTCTAGTTGCATACCCATTCTGGAAATGTCTCACAAAAAGTACTGAAGAGCCCAAGTGCTGGTTGATTTTTATAGTTGCATATCCATTATGCAAAGGATCTCAACTAAATGAGGGTCGCCCAGATAAGGAAGTTTTGTTCATCCAACCTCACCCCATTTAGGAATATGGTTTACTGGAGCTTTCTAAAGTCAGGGGGCAAGATAAGAAAATTTTTTTTCCCCTCTTTTACACTTGATAAGGGAATGATTCCTTGTTCATTCTCTCTCTCTCTCAAGAAGATCTACTCGAATAATGAGGCAGAATGTGAATCCCACATTATTGGCTTGGAGATGGCCATCGAGATGCAACTCGATACTGTAGCTGTATATGGTGAGTCGCAATTGGTCATTAGACAATTATTAGGGACTTATGAAGTCGAGAAGACTGAAGTAGCCCCCTATGCTAACATGGCTAAGTATCTCATGTCCTTGTTTAATGAGATGAAAGTCAAAATCGTATACCTCAGCGACTCAACAGAGGCTGGCGCATTGGCAAGATTGGGGGCACCTATTGTACTCCCTTCAAATCAGCCAATGCAAATCTGTTTTTAAAAGAGCTGCATCCTACCTCCAGTTTTGAAGTTACAAATTATAGAAAGAAAGAGGTGCCTTGAGAAGGCAAACAACGGCTTACATACCTCAGTGATATTCTGTAGAGGAGGTCTTTTGATGAATTCTTATTTTGTTACCTTTCTCATGAAAAGGCTCAACAAGCTTTGAAAGAAGTCCACGCTGGAGCATGTGGGATACACTAGTTGGCACTCAAGCGACATATGAGGCTCAAATGCTTTGGATACTATATATCTGCCGACTCCATGTACTATGAGAGATGGGGTTCTGTATGTCCAATTCAGGGAGATTTGATACACTAGGCACCAGAGCTACTGCATCCCATTGCCCCATTGCCATTTGCAGAATGAGGAATGAATCTTGTCATCCAATTAAACCACTTTCTTCCGGTGGTCATACCTTCATATTAGCTGCCATGGGTTATTTCTCCAACAGGATGGAGGCTATAACTGTAAGGAATGTCACTGGGAAGTCGTAGCCAACTTTGTCCAAACCCATATTATGTAGATTTGGTCCCAGACAGATTAGCCTATGGTTTCTTGTTCCAAATTTCAGATTATATATAAGCTTCTAGCCATTCTCTGTTGTAGATTGGAGGCATCCTTTTATGTACAACCACGGGTTAATGGATTGGCCAAGGATTTCTATAAAATATTGTGCAAGGCTCTAAGAATTCGGTCTTAAGGAGTCAGAAAGTGGCATGAGAGATTGCAGAGGCTTTATGAGCCTAGCGCATGACCTTTTGGATGTCCATTGAAGCCACTCTGTACTTGCTTGTGTTTGTTGAAGAAACACTGTTTCCCCCATCTCTCTGAGTTGTAGTCAATCACCACATCTGCAAGGAGGACCGGGAGCTGGACACATTGGACGAGAGATGCCTATGAACCTAATATAATTTGGAAGCATGTCAAGTCCTCATGAGTTGCGCATTTGATAAGAAGATCATGTTCATGCATTTGAATAAAGAGATCTAGTCCCTCACTGTCTGGTGCCCATTGTCATAATGAGGTGCTCACGAGGTGAGTTAGAGCCAAGCGGGAAGGCCCACGTCAAGAAGGTCTACTCAAGTGCCTTTTTCCTACTTGGCTAATTGCAAGAAGCAATGTAGACATCCCAATGGCCCCCATCAATGGTTGATTTCTAAAGCCATACTATCCATAGTCTTCTATCTACATGTAATGGTCCTCGTCATGTGACCCCGGCATGTTTACTGCTAGCGAGATGAGTATAAATTGTAAAGCAAGACCCTCATTACAAGAGTTCCATTTATAAATGCAAAAGACTTAGTTTTGTTGTAAATATTTTCATATTAGTTCGTATGATGCATGAGTCTAAACTGCATGCCAAGTAATACCCTTGGACAACATAAATATAGACCATGTGTCATACCATGCCCTGTAAAGATTCAATTACCAGTGCAAAATGCTAAATTGATTCTTTTATAGTATTTATCTGTCTATAATACATGTAATGCTCCTAGCCATAAGAGTCTAAGCTGTGGCAAATATACTCTGTTACTCTTTTACATGAGTATAAACTGTACATCATAGCCCCCTCAGGAGAAAATAGTCCATTACCAATGCTATATGCCTGATTATTTATTTTACATTTTTGAAGTAACCAGTGAGTTGCTGTCAAAGTTTAGTTTCATGGTCCCTTTTGGCAACTTGAACAATCTCCTAGGTGTCTCTACACCAATTGCTTTTGGATTTTTGGGTTCAGGTTACTATTGACAAATGAATTAATCTTGTTTTCTGGTTCACCATTAATGTACATGCCACCACAGAGCACGTGTCAATCACTACTACCAATTAAATCTAAAAATTTTATACCGAAATTGAGTGGTAAACATGAGAAACTCAGAAAGGAGAAAGGAAAGTAAAAGTAAAATTAAATGGAGCATAGTTCCTTTTTGTTGGCCTACTATGCAAGCTCTGAATATCTGAGGAACTGTGCTTTTAATGCTTCTATTTTTCATGCTAAAGTCATATGTGGTAAATAAGTCTAGCTTATAGCTATATTTGCATGCTAAAGTCATGCATGCTATAATTCTTCATCCGGCTTATAGTTGTACGTGCAAAATAAAATGGAAGAAACACCTGAGCTAAAAGAAAAATTTATTGGAAATCCATACGTTCTTATCTTGTTGGGAAGGGTGGGAGGTGGTGCTTTTTTATTCGATTCATGTACTTGTCTTTTTCAATTTCAAGTATCATTATTACAAACCTTATTAATTCCTCACAGATGATTATGGCAAAGGAGCAAGCTTGCCTCCTCAAATCTGTCTCTTCCTTCAACACAGTCATCAATTCTGACCTTTACATTCCAATGATATGAAATAGGTAACATACAAGTTGCCTCAGTGCCTCATGTATCATTATTCACCGGGAAACATTAGTGCAGATCGCATGTTCTTTAACTTGTTTGGAAGATAACAGCATATAAAATAATATGTATTTCAGAAATATTAGAGTGCCACTTATGTTGTAATCCATACTAGTAATAGACAGCTCGAGATGATTGCTTTATAGTTGGTGGCTCTGGTTTTCTAATGTTTCAATAGTGTGTACAAGTATTCGGTATTTTATAGGTTAGTTTCCTAAGCTTAGGTAAACAAATAGTAGAAAGTTTTTAACTTCCAAAACTGCAGGCGATGATTGAAATAGTCCTAATTAGATGTTAGTTAAATGGGCAGCTTGTCTCATATTAATAAGTGGAACAACATATTATTAATAATCGATGACTTTGGTTTGTGGCTTGAGTTCTAAGGGAAGGTTGTTTGATCTCTAGGCCCCTCGTGAAAATCTAAACAAGACCTCAAACAAGCGAGTTAGGAGGTTGGGGATATGAACTGGACTGGGTCCCCTTTGGATAGCCCAAGAACCCCATTAAGAGCGGGTGTTATTTGGAAACAGAGGACAATTTTTTTAACAAGCTTATGGCCATTTGGTGGTGTTTTCTTAACAAGTTGGGCAAAGAAAAGGATTACATTTGAAGAGTGGGCGGAGGAAAGAACAGTTTCCTTAATATATTGTCTGCCCAAAAGGGGCGTCCTGTTTTGGGAGGAACCTAGTCTGCAGACAGTCCACTTTGTAGTTGTTACCCATGGATGATGAAGTTAGCATCCAACCATGCAAAGATGGTCATAAATTGCTTTGAGTGGTTGCGGACTTTGGTAGCTTGTCACTCCCTTTTAGGCGGGACCTTAACAAGGATGTTTTTGTTGAGCTAAGTTGTGTTGTTTCTTCGGGTATAAGTTCTATGGGATATGGGTTTAACCATTCTGAGAGTTGGGGTCAGCACGAGGATTTGGCGTTACAACAACAATTTTAGGGTATCAGAACTTAGATGCAATGTTGAATGAAGGTATCAAAGCATGGATCATATCAAGTGTGGCTTGTGAAGAAAGAGTTGTGGAGTACTTATCAAAAGGACAGTGGAAGGCAGTTTAATGTTTGCGGAAACAATGCCTCAGTATTTGTTGGTTGTCTCAAACTTGATGACATTTGTTGTTTTTAATTTGAAAGCAGTGACACTGTATTGATGCACATTCGAATGACCAAAAACGATATTAAAGAAATAATGTTTTGAATGATAATCGATGGAAGCTAGAAAGCCTAGCTTCAACAGATCTGTGAATTCAATAGAATTCCCTAGAACAGTGTTTGAAATAGCAATAATCAACTCTGAATAAAAAACCCTAACTGAAACCCTATTAATAGATTTTACCCTAATCCCAATTCTAAATGTGATTAGAACTCCTAATTAAAATTGAGCCTGAATTTTATGTTTTTGCCCTTGACAAATAACACAAGACAAATTTGTTCTGAAAAGAATCTTAAAATTGGGATAAGGCTTGGATGATGATGATGATATCCCAACTTCACATGGGCCTAACTTTTCGGTCTGATGTGAAAAACTCAAAATCGCTATTATGTCCCATTTTGGAAACAGTAGCATAAATGGTAGAGGCTGAAAACCAACGTCTTGGGTTCCTTGAGCAATCGAGGCCCAAAAGTGCCTCTAAGGCCCTGAATGTTGAACTTGAATTTGCTGCGCAATGCAGGTTTGTTGTCCTGCATCATACTTGCCCTTTTTGGAAACTATTATGATCTCAGTTAAGACATGTTTTAACTTGTCCTCTTTACTCAAAAGGGAGAAGATTCTATAATCGAACAGGTCTATAGCTACTGTGATAAGGCAGGCCCCTAAACACATTGGTGATAGGATTTGTTTGGTTTGCAATGTGCACAATATATTTGATTTGGGAAATAAGCAATTTAAAAAGGGAATATATATAGAATGAGACCATTTATGTTTGGTACAAGGTGGTCACATTAATCTTGACGATGTGAAATTGGGTGGCTGTTATTATTCCATTGACCAAGCTCAAACTTCAAAAGAAATTTTCTTGAACTTTGTGTCACATCCGAGCTATCAAATTTCACATTAGATGGTTGTAAGTAATTGTGGTCACCATGTATTAAAGGTAAATTGCCTGATTGTATACAATCCCATTTAAAAAATAAATTGATTTTGAGCTCTTAAAGGCCTAGTTCTATATCCCAAAATGGATGGCCTGCGTTCATAGATGTGCATATTTTGCACTTTTTGTGTGAATTCAAAACTCACTCTCTCTCTCTC